CTATGCCAGACCATTTCAGTGGGGGCCTCTGACTGTTGCTGAATTTAAAACCTTTCTCGGCCTAACACTGAATATGGGACTCACCCAAAAAAATGAGCTGAATGCGTCTACAAACCCAATTCATCACATGCCCCTATATTCTGCAACCATGTCCAGGACAAGATACAAAACCATATTGAGGTTTCTTCATTTCAACAACAATTCTTCTTGCCCTCCCAGAAGTCACCCCACATATGATAGGCTCCAAAAAATTAGGCCACTCATCAGTTTGTTTTCTGCCAAATTTTCTGAAATTTATACCCCCCAACAAAATATTTACGTTGATGAATCCATTATTCATTTCACAGGCAGGCTTAATATCAAACAGTATATCCCCAGCAAACGCGCCAGGTACGGGGTTAAACTGTAAAAGCTTTGCGTAAGACACCAGATACACATATGACTTCCGTGTGTATGAAGGGAAGGATAGTCATTTGGAGCCCCCTGGATGCCCATCATACATAGGAATCAGTGGAAGAATAGCGTGGGACCTCCTGTCACCCCTATTCCACCAGGGATACCACCTCAATGTGGATAATTTCTACAGCAGCATACCCCTTTTAAAACACCTGTTCCTCCAAAAAACCCCAGCCTGTGGTACAGTGCGATCAAATCGGATTGGCTTTCCCCAAAATATTGTCCGCAAGAAGCTGAAAAGGGGGGAGTCAGCAAGTCTTAGGCCTGGTTCACACCTGGGCGTTTTACAGCGCGTTCCTACACGCTGTAAAACGCTCAACATGTGAAAACCAATGATTGCCTATGGGCATGGTTCCCACCTGGGCGTTTTACAGCGTGTAGGAACGCGCTGCAAAACGCCCTACGCCCAAAGAAGTACAGGAGCTTCTTTGGGGCGTTTTGCTGCGCTTTTCCATTGGTATTCCCGAGTGTGGATCGGGGTTAACAAAGCGGTAACCCCGAGCCACACTTGGGAATACAGCGTACAGGTATTAGCTTGTCCGTGATCCCCGCTGTGTCTTCGGCGGCTGCCGACTTCCGTGCCTTGCGAGCAGCCGCGTCGCAGGGGGGCGGACCCAGCGGGAAGTTTAAAAGTCAAATTTCAAAAAAATATAATTTTTTTTTTAAAGCAGAGAAAATAAAAGGAAAACAAATAAATACCGCCAGTGAAACACGCGTTTCACTGAACGAAAAAAAAAAAACGAGCTGAAAAACAACGCTCAGGTGTGAACCCAGCCTAAGGAATGATGAACTTTTGGCCCTCAAATGGAAAGACAAAAGGGATGTCTACATGCTGTCATCCATCCACCCAGACACATCAGTGGAAATCCAAGGAAGATCTGGCCTGTCCCAAAATACAATCTGTATATGGGTGGTGTTGAGTTAAATGATCAGATGATGCAGCCCTACTTGGCAACCAGAAGATCCATTCACTGGTATAAAAAAAGTGTCCATCTATCTTTTTCAATTGGCTATGTACAATTCATACGTAATTTATAAGTCTGCAGGAAGAGCTGGCTCTTACCTCCAATATCAAGAAGCAATTATTACATCCCTGATTTTCCAGGAAGGCCCTGCTCCTGAAAGTCTTCAGTCTGATGCAGTCAGCAGGCTGCACGATATTTTTTGATAACTTGTGCCAAAAAATGACATCTTTAAAACACCCCCCATGCATCTTATCAAATACCTTTGGGTGTCTGCTTTACAAAATGGGGTCATTGTGTGGGTGTTTCTACTGTACTGGTATTTTAGGGTCTCAAGAAATGTGATAAGCAGTCAGGGCACTAGAGTTGATACATCTCCTATTTATATGTTATATATACCATTGTTCTGTAGACTCTATAACTGTAAGAGATTCTAATTAATTTACACTCATTTGGATTTTTTTTACCAATGAAATGTAGCAGAACACATTTTGGCCAAAATGTAGGAAGAAAGATTATTTATTTGCAATGTTTCATTAACATAATTTAAGGAAAACAGGTATTTTGTTTTTTTTAATCTGTATTTTTTTCTTTATATAGTAAAAAATAAAAACCGCAGTGGTGATTAAATACCACCAAAAGAAAGCTCTATCTGTCCCAAAAAAGGGTAAATTCATTTCAGTAAAGCGCTGCATGATGGAAAATTTGTCAACGTACCGCAGCGCTGAATACTGAAAAATGGCCTGGCCAGGAAGGGGGTGTAAACACCTGGTCTTCAAAGTGGTTAAAGGAGAACTATGGTGTCCCATAGTTCTCCTAAGGGTAACGGGAGAACACAAACTAGCGTCCTCCCGTCACCTTAAGCACAGTATACCGCGAGCTACAGGTCGCGGTATACTGAGACGCCGCAGCCGTGAAAGATCACGACATTACTGTCTGGATCCACCCAGCTGCGGGATTGAAAGCTGGCTCTGCCTATCTAGAGGCAGAGCCAGCTGTCCCCTCCCCCATCCGTTCCACCAGTCAGCACTGGAGGATCAGACAGGGGAGGGGGAATCCCTGCAGGGAGCCTTGAGTGACAGATCGAGAAGTGAGCGAGCGACGGTATGTGTTTGCTCACTTCCCGATCTATTGAGCCGACCTGTGACAGTTTCATTGTCACAGGTCGGCTAGAACTAGGAGGCTGAGTGATTTTCACTTTAAGGGAAACGCCTATAGGTGGGCTACCAACTTTTCAGAAAAAAAGCAGCAGCCCAGGTTCAACAGATAGGGCTTCATGATGGGACGTTGACCAAAGAAGGAACAAAGGACAACTAAAGGCCACATTTTGTGAGAGACTGCAAACAGAAGCCATTTTCCTGAGAACGCGTCATTGCCACAAAGTCCTGTTCGATCAGAATTTGTAGGCTGAAGCTAAGTACCTTTAGTGTACCCTCCTATAGTTTCCATTGCATGTGCCAGAGAAGTGTATTGGGTGCATGTGTATGTTTGTTTGTAGTCAGCCTTATGTTTTTTTTTGCACTGATTTCCTGTAACTAAGTGTGCACACGTCATTTTTGCATAGTAAAGTACGTTAAATACAACTGGGTCAGTTTCCGTGGGCTTTACTGTAAGAATTAGACAACAAATATCTAAAAGTTTTGTTTAGCATTACAAAAAGGTATTATCATAGGGTCACTGCCAAATTACCTGCAGTGACATTCAGACAATAGAACATGTTCTGTATCTTCAACATCAGCTTGTAATGTCTATGAAGGTTCTCCTTCATCCAGGTCCAGCTGGGGTGTCTGAGAAACTCATAAGGGTTTTAAAAAAACATCACATCCCTGTCTGCTTTAAACCCAGCAATACACTGGGGCGACAACTGGTTCACCCAAAAGACCTAACGCCAAAACACAAGATGAACAACATTGTTTATGCAGTTCAGTGCAGTGAGGAGTGCTCAGAATTGTATGTCGGTGAAACAAAAACAGCAGCTACACCAGCGTATGGCACAGCATAGAAGAGCCAAACCCTCTGGTCAGGATTCAGCAGTGTACCTACATCTAAAGGAAAAAGGTCACTCCTTTGAAGGCAGTCAAGTAAGCATCCTAGACAGGGAGGAGGACTGATTTAAAAGAGGCCATTTATGTAAAAATGGAGAAGCCAAGCTTGAATAGAGGTGGGAGGGGGGGGGTTGAGACATCTATTGTCTGCCACATACAATGCTGTTTTAACACCTCTCTCTGGGCAGGTTAATAACACCTCCTAGACTCCAATTATGCAAATGCAATAAACGCCTGGTTGTGACTAACAGATTATGTGGATTGGAGCAACATTCACCATATTTATTCCCAGATAATTGTTGTACAAGTCATTCTGAATGGAGAAAGCTGGTTGTTGACCAAAGAAGGAACAAAGGACAACTAAAGGCCACATTTTGTGAGAGACTGCAAACAGAAGCCATTTTCCTGAGAACGCGTCATTGCCACAAAGTCCTGTTCGATCAGAATTTGTAGGCTGAAGCTAAGTACCTTTAGTGTACCCTCCTATAGTTTCCATTGCATGTGCCAGAGAAGTGTATTGGGTGCATGTGTATGTTTGTTTGTAGTCAGCCTTATGTTTTTTTTTGCACTGATTTCCTGTAACTAAGTGTGCACACGTCATTTTTGCATAGTAAAGTACGTTAAATACAACTGGGTCAGTTTCCGTGGGCTTTACTGTAAGAATTAGACAACAAATATCTAAAAGTTTTGTTTAGCATTACAAAAAGGTATTATCATAGGGTCACTGCCAAATTACCTGCAGTGACATTCAGACAATAGAACATGTTCTGTATCTTCAACATCAGCTTGTAATGTCTATGAAGGTTCTCCTTCATCCAGGTCCAGCTGGGGTGTCTGAGAAACTCATAAGGGTTTTAAAAAAACATCACATCCCTGTCTGCTTTAAACCCAGCAATACACTGGGGCGACAACTGGTTCACCCAAAAGACCTAACGCCAAAACACAAGATGAACAACATTGTTTATGCAGTTCAGTGCAGTGAGGAGTGCTCAGAATTGTATGTCGGTGAAACAAAAACAGCAGCTACACCAGCGTATGGCACAGCATAGAAGAGCCAAACCCTCTGGTCAGGATTCAGCAGTGTACCTACATCTAAAGGAAAAAGGTCACTCCTTTGAAGGCAGTCAAGTAAGCATCCTAGACAGGGAGGAGGACTGATTTAAAAGAGGCCATTTATGTAAAAATGGAGAAGCCAAGCTTGAATAGAGGTGGGAGGGGGGGGGTTGAGACATCTATTGTCTGCCACATACAATGCTGTTTTAACACCTCTCTCTGGGCAGGTTAATAACACCTCCTAGACTCCAATTATGCAAATGCAATAAACGCCTGGTTGTGACTAACAGATTATGTGGATTGGAGCAACATTCACCATATTTATTCCCAGATAATTGTTGTACAAGTCATTCTGAATGGAGAAAGCTGGTTGGATGACCAGTGAAACGTCTTCAAGAAAAATACAGCAAGTCAGCAGCCTTGACTTATTTGTTACAGATATCTGCTTGTAAAAGCGCTTTAGGAGTGCTAGTAAGGATCTTACCTTCAAGTGCCACGGTAAAGAGAGACCCTGAAACCGTCTAACTTGCTCTGTAGAAATATGAACGATTGAGTGTGCTGCTGTGACCTCATACTGCATACAAACACTTGTGCTGGGTATGTGAGGACCTTCGGTGAGATCAACAAATTCACCAAATCTGGGAAAAGAATGAAAAATAATGATCATAAAATAGAGAACTTCAATTTCTGACCAGAATAGAACTTTTTTTTTTAAATAAGTGGGCAAACGGTCTTAAACATCCAGTTACTTTTCAATGGGGAACTCTTTCTATAGAAACACAAAGAATAAACCTTGTTCGCCATAGACATTAAGTGAGAAGACAACCCACGTATACAGTGGTGGCATTAAAGCAGAAATACAGGATAAGCAAATATTGTCTGTGTTTAAGAGGCACGTGTATTTGTATTCATACTTGAAGCTTGGTGTGCTTTGTGTATATATTTTTAGATCTGTAAAACAATCCAGTGTGAAACCTATCCTCCGCGCAGGAGTTTCCTGTAAGACCGCTCACTGCTGTTCTCTCTCCTTGTGCAGGGTAACTGGTCTTGTATCTGCCGCCTCCTGTAGTTTTCTCCCGGGAATCTTTAGTGGGTGGAGTCTGCTGGGTCCCCCCATATATGTCACTGCTACATTTAGAAGATACTACCTGGATTAGTAAAGGCATTTGATTTGATGCACACAAAGTGGATTTATATCATTTGTGGATATAGAGGAATTTACATTTTGAATTAATTAAAATGTTGTTTATGGAGGAGTTCAACTTTATTCAATTACATACGCTTTACATATCATGGGAGTTTGTTCTTCATATCTCATATCCAATTTCTTCACATTCATTGTTCTGTATGACTGTCCCAGCAAATGATGCACCTCAAGTGGTGGCGATTTTCCACATTTATCAGAATTTTGCTAATACACAAAAATCACTAGGACCTGTTATCAAGGCTTGTTTTAATATGACAGGCAAATGCTCACTTTAATAGACTACATTATCAAACCCAGCATGCCAATATCTAGCAATTATGGAGAGCGCAGAGACACTCCTTAAAGAACTCCAGGAAATATGTATTAAACCCTTGCAATGGGGCTACCCCTACACTGCAAGGGTCAAGTGGTCATTTGTGTCTGGGCTGAAAAATAACAAAGTTATACTCACTGGAAGCTCTGAGCCGGCCAGCTGTCACAGTGCTGCCTGCAACCTGTCTACTCTCTGAGCATTGGAATCTACTCAGCGTCTCCCTCCCCCGTCTATACACAGTATATAGATGATGTTGATGATTTATGGGACCTTAGACCGCTGCAGAGGGGGAGAGACACTGGAAGAACCAGTCTAAGGAAAAGGTGAATTGGAGCTTCGGGTGAGTATAAACATTTTTTTTTTTTAACCTAGACACAAACGAACAGCTAACCCTGGCAGTGCGGTAGTGGTGGAGCGCCAGGGCCAAGACGCAGCTGCAAATGCCACGACCCTGGTAGTTCTGCCAGACTCCAAGCACTACATTATACATCAATGCAGAATAATATGAAGCAGCTTCACCAGGGCTGCAAGCGGGTGCAGGACTCCCCAGTGGTGTGCGGGCAGCGGGAAGGAGGAGATGCTCAGACCGGACTCGCCCTGTAAAACAACCACCGTGGTTTTTCCAGAAGGCTGTTGCTAGATCCCCAGCAGCTGCTCCTATTTAAAAATTTAAAGCGCCGATATGGGTGCTTTGTATCGGGGTATTTTCACGAGTATAACTACTCATGAAAATCCCCAGTATCGGTATCGGTGCATCCCTATTCCGTAGTCTGCCTTAGGGACATGTGTTTTGCTGTGGGGACATGTCCCCAAAGCAGAATTCCTCTCACCAGGCTGGTTGTCGATCTCACCCGGGCAACATCCCCGTCTGGACCGGCGATGCTGGGACCTGGGCTCCTCCACTTCCAGACCGGCGATGCTGGTACCCAGTCTTTTCTCCGTCAGCCGACCATGACCGCTGCTGGGCCCCCCCACCTCCATCCTTCTCCTGGCCCAGTCCTCCCCTGTCAATGGGCAGCAGAAACACCCAGCTTCTAGCCCTGGGGCAGCCACTCCACTGAGACAAAGAACTGGACAGGCACTGCCATGGGACAGCTATCTGCAGATCCCCAGTAGGCTGATGAGATCCCTAGAAGCTGCTGTTTAAAAATTGAAAGGACCGATATTGGCCTTAAGAATTAAGAAAAAGCCTGGTATCGGCCCCGATACTAGTATCGGTATCGGGACATGCCTACTTTTTGATATATAAGGGCATTAACGGATCCAGCTTGTGTTTTTAGCCATGTACACTACCTTTACCATGTTCTGACACATTAAAAATGATGCTACATTGTAATGTTTGCCATGAAAGTTGTAAGAGCAATGTTAAACAAAAAAAACAGTATTTGAAACATTTAGGGAGACAGCTACAAATGTCAAACACAGCTGTACCGTGCCACAACACATGAATATAATTTTTTAAAAAAAAGCAATTAAGTGTAAAAAGGGTTTTCATTCCATCAAAGTGTGAAAAGAACAAACAGCTTGCATTGACGTATCCTTCTTTATTTGGTTTTTAATAGTCTTCCATTGTGTCTTTTTCCCAATAGTGTGTTTTCCTTTTAGAAATCAATATTGTTTCCTAGTTGCCTTTTTGTGGTCTCTACAGAAAGCTAAAAACTGATTGACAATGTAACAAAAACAGATTTTTTATTTTATTTTAATCCAATGTAAAACTCTGCTGTAACATCAATGGAAACTGCAAATTCAACTTTGCAGCAAGCTAGCTTCAGTG